GTTCAGGCGTTCGTCAACGACGATTCGCCTAATGCTTTCGAGAAAGTGATCGATCGTCTGTTGGTATCTCCGCAGTATGGCGTGAAATGGGGACGCGTTTGGCTGGACGTCGCACGGTATTCTGACACGCGAGGCTATCTCAACGATGGTCAAGAACGCCGCTTCCCCTATGCCCATGCATATCGCGACTACGTCATCGATTCGTTCAATCGTGATACGCCGTACGATGAATTCATCAAAGAACAAATCGCGGCAGATTATTTCGCGGAAGAAGGAGACCGACGACTCGCAGGGCTTGGGCTCATTCGTATCGGTCGTCAGTTTTCGAAACGGCAAGAAACGATCGATGACCGTATCGATGTTGTCACGCGAGGTTTGCTAGGGCTGACGGTGAGTTGTGCTCGCTGCCATGACCACAAATACGACGCCATCAATACGGCGGACTACTACGGGCTTTACGGCATCTTCGATCAACTTGAAGAAACAACTCCGCTTGTTGGCCCGATTGATGCCGATCCACAGTATCCCGAATTCAAGAAACGCTTTGACGAACTTCAAGCGGAACTCAATCAGCATACCGAGAAAACCGAACGAGCAATTCAATCGGAAGCCGCAACCAACTTTTTCGACTTCATTGTGCGTGCGGTATCGAAAAAGCAAGATGTCGAGATCGCCAAGTACGAGCAGAACGAGCTGGACGCGAAGAATATTCGCCCCCATTTGGTTTCCAAGTGGAAGCAGTTCGCCGATCGTGTCTGGAAGCCGAACGATCCAATCTGGGGGCCGCTCTTCAAGGCACGCGAATTGGGCGAAGAGCAATTTGCTGCGGAAGTGGAAGCATTAGTCGCCAGTTGGACGGCCGAGGACAGCAAACTGAATCCAACCGTTCGCGAAGCCATCCAGCAGGCAAAACCGACTACGCTTCCAGCGCTGGTTGATGTTTATGACGAACTCTTCAAACCAATCGGTGCTGTCTATCGGGATGCCGAGTTCAGTAAAGAGGCCGTTGATAAGTTGGATGGTCCGCAGGGCGAATTGGCCGATGCGTTGTTTGGACGATTTTCGCCGGTGCTTCTCAATGACAACGATGTGAATCGATCCTGGTTCACCAGCGAACGCAACGCACGCAAGAAGCTGGAAGGAAAGATTCGTGGTCATGAGATCGACTCGCCTGGCTCGCCGCCCCGTGCGATGGCGGTGGTCGATCGCGATAAGATCCACGATCCGGTGATCTTCCTGCGCGGCGACCCTGGTCGTCGTGGCGATCGCGTCCCTCGGCAGTTCATTCGCGTATTGAATGGACCGGAGGATACCTCCTACAGCAACGGTAGTGGGCGATTGGAATTGGCCGAAGACATTGTGGCTGACGACAACCCTTTGACAGCACGCGTGATTGCCAACCGTGTCTGGATGACGCACTTTGACCAACCGCTTGTGCTGACGCCGGCAGATTTTGGTGTCCGAAGCGACCCGCCGAAGCTGCCCCTTCTGTTAGATCATCTAGCGACGTACTTGAAGTCCAACGATTGGTCTCTCAAGCAGTTGCATAAGTACATCATGCTTTCGGCAACCTATCAGCAATCGAGCGAAGACCGTGCGGATGCGAGGGAAAAAGATCCAGAGAATCGCCTCGTCTGGCGAATGAACCGCCGCCGTCTCACGTTCGAGGAAATGCGAGATGGCATGCTTAAAGTGAGTGGTGCGCTGGACGATTCGCTCGGTGGCCGGGCCGAAAAGATTCTGGAGAATCCTCATCCGCCGCGGCGTACCGTGTACGGTTTTGTCGATCGCCAAGACTTGCCGAACTTGTATCGTGCGTTCGACTACCCGAGCCCAGATGCGACAAGTCCAGAGAGATCGAAGACCAGCGTTCCGCAACAGGCACTTTATTTGCTGAACAGTCCTTTCGTGCAGCGTCAGGCTCAATGGATTACCGATTCGTGGAAAGACGAGCCATCCCTAACGGATGAACAGCGATTGGAACGGCTCTTTCAGCGAGTACTACAGCGAGCCCCTACACAACAAGAATCGGAAATGTTTTTGAAGTACGTCGAGTCGTCCTCCGATGGAGAAAAATGGAATCGGTGGGATAGCGTTGCCCAGGTGGTGATGATCTCCAACGACTTCATGTTTGTCGATTAAATTCACGCGACGCACGACCGATCTCGAAATAGCAACCGGAATAGAATTATGAATAGCCAATACTCACACCGTCCCGAAGCTTGCATGTCGCGTCGTGACATGCTGACTCGCATGGGAACTGGCCTCGGCATGATGGGCCTAGCTGGGCTTCTGGGTGATGAAAAGCTTTTGGCAGCCGATGCTCAGTCCGCGGCGGAAGCAGCTTCGTACCAAAATCCCTTGGCACCGAAGGCTCCCCACTTTCCCGCCAAAGCAAAGCATGTCATTCATTTGTTTATGACCGGCGGTCCATCGCACGTCGATACGTTTGACCCGAAGCCTCTGCTCACCAAATACCATGGTAAGCCGCTGCCAGGGGGTGAAAACCTGCGAACGGAACGTAAGACAGGCGCCGCCATGGCGTCCCCATTCAAGTTCCAAAAGTATGGCGAAAGCGGAATCGAAGTCAGCGAGCTGTTCCAC